TGCCCGTCGTCTTGACTGACTTTTGTCACTTGTCTGTTGGTCGCTCTTCAAACATCTTCGGGGGCCTCGAGTCTCGTGTTTGCCCAAGACTTAACCCACCCGCCCAAAAGCAGAAGCGGAATTATCGGCAGACCACCGACGACTGTGAAGTGAACAACCGAGTGTGAACTGCGGGGCCCATTCCCTTTTGGCAGATGCCGATCTATTACGAAACCCTTCGCCATTAATCTCAATAATATCAATTGGATATACCCACACACACACACACACACTCACACCCATACTTAAGTGCACTATTACTTGACTTGGAGCCATGCATTGCACCGATGTCTCCAGTCACGCTGGAAGCCATAGAAAGGCTCTGGATCAGCGCGCTCAACAGCAGCAGAAGCACCGCACTGCAACGGCAGCAACAGCAGCAGTCCAAGTGAGCGTAATGCATAGTCTACTGAGGGTTTAGGGTTTTCTAAAAGTTATTAAGTATATAAATCTTTAGCTTGCAGAGAGAAACCTGCGCCAAAAGTCCACTCTAACCCTAGATATACCACGATTTGTGGATATGAAAATCTAACTATCAGAGGCGTTTACTTCCAGCTGCCAACTCCCAAGATCCGCTTGAATCATACTTATCGCTGTACTATCTCTTTGATATCTAAACAGACTGATAGCCATGTCCCACGTGATCTATGGCAAATATTTATGTGCATACAAAATGTTTCTGTGAAATATTCGTAATGTGTGAATTAAGATTTCCAGGAGAAAGAAAGAGTTTTTTTTTTGTTGGTTTGGTTGGTTTGGTTGGGTGAAGATTTCACGATTTTAGAAACGCTTCTTCAGTGCAGTGCATACTGGCTACAACCGGCCAGAGAAGAGCTACTCTCGTACCCGTACAATATTATGCGTTTCTTTTTGCTTTTTTGCTTTTTTGCTTTTTTGCTGTTTTCCTGTTTTGCATTTCGCTGCCACACAGCTCAAGCGATAGCCAGAGATTTTTCATGAATAAATGAATATTAATTGAATGCAAGCAAATTGCTTCTTGGGGAGTGCAGGAGACTCTCCTGCATGTCCATCAAATTAACAGAAGCGTTTAGTGATCGACGCAGGCGCAACGGCCGCAACGGCCGCAACGGCAGCACCGCCACCACCACCACACCACGATTTGCCACTTGCTGGAGTGGTGTGCCACTTTGGCGGATTGGTGGTACCAAGCAGTCTCGCCATCGAATGTTTGCTGCCGTTGTTTTTTTTTTGTTTTGTTTTTGCGTTCCTAAGCACATTTTAGTTTCGCTGTAAAAAAAAATGTCTTCATATGGCCATTGGCAAACTGTTGGCTCTGAGAGAGGGGCCGTGCCGAGGGCGGGGCACAGCGTGGGGCACCAGAGCAGTGAAGAGCAGCAACTGGGGGGCTGGCAGGCAGTTTGTGTTTTGGCTTTCGGTGGTGGCCTGCCATGCTTGCGTAGCCAAGCGTTACACACAGGCAGACTCTATCGCAATATGTATCTACGAGTACATATATACTAATCTACATACATATGTACCCACCATATGTACCGGGACAGTAGGTACGTCTGTACAATGCACGCGTTTGTTGGGGCACAGTTTGGCAGGAATAGCATTGTTCCTATCGCTGTACAGCTGTATATCTACATATAAGCCCCTTAAGCCATGATATATATGGATATGAGTATATCTTCCGATAACACTTCTCTCACATTCCAAGACAAATCTAAGGCGCAAAGCTGATAAGAAGTCCCCCAGGCGACAACCAGCTGGACTTGAATCTATTCTATTAATAGAGCAAGCAAATAAGCAACATGAATCGACTATAAGTTGACCCTTGCTGGGGGTTTCTGTCAGTTCACAGACAAACCTTTCGCTGCCAGTTTATTCAGTGTTGCAGGGTGTAGAGTTAACAGACTTAACAAAAGATCTCTTGGCTAACATTTTCCTGCTCTCTTGCCATTGCTGGGATAACCCTTCGTTATCTAATCTTCGTAATCTAAGCCACAACTTCTTTTGAAGTTCAGTGTTGAGTGTCGTAGGACAAAAAGAGTGTTTGGTAATGCTCTCGCCTTCGTGCCGCTATGCACATCAGCATAGCGATATACCCTTCGCGGCGTGTGGCAGCGGGCACAATAATAATTATAAACTATTGCGCAAAAAAGAATTCACAAGCCGTTTGTCTGCTATAATTGCCATTATTATTTTTGGCTCATGACTTCATTCAATGTCGCCTGGCCGGGGTAGAAATAAAAACATCGTATCCGATTGGATCGGCCACACCAGCACGGGCAGAGGCAACAGGCACAGGCACAGCCACTGGCAGGCACAGCAATCAAATCAAAGTTGAATAGTGAACAATCAGACAACAATCAACAACATGGCAATTGAGAGCCAGTGGCGTGCGTGCGACTCGCTCCAATGATTCAGTTATATGTACATATATGCACACATACACACACACATACATACATATGTATATATTCTCGCAAAGATATCTCTACAGTATGGCTATTTGAATAATGGGAAGACTTGTATGTATGGCACACTCTCGACTTGAATTGATACAAAGCGTCGGCCGACAAATAAAATCAATTGGCAGCTAATCAAAAGTCAAATGCAAACAAATTGCCAGCACATGCTGCCAGCTTGTGACGCTGACACAGACGTCGACGTCGATGTCGACGTCAACGTTGACAGAGACAGAGACAGCGACAGCGACAGCAACAACGCGATTGACAAGAGAGTCGAGACGAAAGACTGAAGATCGGAGATCGGAGATCGATTAAGGCAATCACGTTCGTTGGCTCCTTTTTGTGGTTTCTGTGGTCAACGATGAAGTCATTCATTTCATTTCATTCATTCAACAATGCCACAGCGCTGCTTCAACTTTCCCTTGCCCTCACTCTGGCCCACACTCTACCCTCCTGCCACCCACCTTCCTGTTACATTATCTCTGACGCTGGTCGCATATCGATTATACAATTTATGCGGCCGGCAAAAGAGCGTTAAAAATAAATGCATGCACCCAAACTGAAACTTGCCGCAGATGCCAATGATGCCATAAATCGTGCAACTCGAAGCCAATTAGCACTCGCCAAGTCCAACTGAAAATCGAACCCGATACGGTACGATACGCTCTGAACCCAGGGCCACACCACACCACCACTGAACAGTATGTGTGCTGGGGAAATGCGAGTACTGAAGAGCTTCCTCATGCAACAGCCCAGCTGTTGCACTTTGCACGACACACTGGGACACACTGCTCTGACGTACCGTACTCGGCGACATTTGGCCACAACTTGCACTTTTCATCGCCCAACACGTGTGCTAAAGCACAGCTGCTAATTAGATCTTCATATTGATTGCTCGAAAGGAAAGCCAGAGGGGCCAGGGGTTAGCTGAGAGTATGCCAGAGTTAAAGGTTAAGAGATGAATGTAAGTGTTCTTTCAGGGCTTAAGGATTATGATGCCAGTTGCCAGTTGCCAGATGGAAGTTGATAACAATTGGCTCCCAGGACAGCCTACTTTTAGGGGCCTGCAGAGTCCCAATTAATAGCCACTCGAAAATAGAGAAAACACTCAATAAACAATCGAGCAGTTGCTCGAGATATATATACATACGTATTCTTTTCTTTTGGCTAGGCCATTTGGCAAGCGACTGATGAACTTTCTTAGAATTCCCATTCGCATTCCTCAATGCCCATATAGCGTATACATATGTACCCATATACCGATATACCCATTCCCACTGCCATAAATCAAAAGCGAACTGAAAATGCGCCCGACTTAATTGAATACATCAACAAGGCAATAACAAATCAATTTAACTTAAGCACATAACAGAACAGAACAGAACGGAACAGATTCCAAGAATCCAAGATTCGACAGCCGAATCATCTCGCGACTTGATGCGTTCAAGCTAAATATATAAAAATCACAAGAGCAGCAATGGGAATGGGAATGAGCATGGGAAGTGCTCCTCCTTTCATGTTGTGGCTGTTGCTGCCAGAAATAGTCGACGCGTCGTGCTGTCTGCTTGGGTTTTCATTCAGCTTTTCCATTTCTCAATCACCGGGGTCTGCTCTGCGCTGGCTGCGCACACAGGAATTTCCCACATTTCATGTCCAAGCAAACAATTGGCACAATGTGCAAATGGAAAAATTTACAATTTTAATCAAATTATTCAATAGTTTGGAATGCCCTCCTCCTCCTTCTCCTTCTTCTTGTCCGCCTTGTAATTGAGACTCGAGAGAGCGAGAAAGAGTGACAGCAGAGAGAGAGACGGACCGACAGACTCGCTCGGCAAATTGATCAAATATGCAAAGTAAACAAATTTTACGAGTATTTGGGGGCTTGTCTGTCACACGCATCTGTGTGTGTGTGTGTGTGTGTGTGGGGGGAATGTGAATGTAAATGAATGCTCTCCTTCGGGCCCACGAAACTTACATCATAAATAAAGCGAGCCGACAGCTTGCAAATAATGCAATAAACATTGAAATTGTCTGGCTATTTATAGAGCTGTCCTACGATAAGATCGTCTCGTCTGCAACTGCAATTGCACCTTTGCAGACAGTGTAGACAGTGCAGACAGAGAAGGGGTTTACGAGTATTTTTAGCCGACAGTCGACTGTCAGGCGGTGTCTATTTATAGCGATGCCAAGCGATGCCAATCGTTGCAGTTGTTGCATGGTATGGGGCCCCGAGGCCGTGGCTGCCCTTGCCCCTGTCTCTCTGTCTCTGTATCTGTTCCTGTCCCTCTATTCTCGTCTTCCAACCCAAGTGGCGGCGGCTCCGTTTCAAGGCTCGGCTTGGCCCATATCTGCTTACCCAGATGGCCAAGGGGGCCGCCTTTGGGGATCTCGGCTAATTGAGGGCCCAAATGCAGCTTGGTCGCTGGCTCTATAAGTCAATATATGTGGGAATCTATTTATAGTGCATTTCCGGTTGGTTCTCGCCTGTTGCTTATCCACCTCTCTGTTTCTGTTTGGCCTTTGCAGATGTGTTCCCGCAACATAAAGATCTCGGTGGTGCTGTTTCTCGTCTTGATACCAATCTTCACAGCCTTGCCACACAACCACAATCTGTCGAAGCGCAGCAACTTCTTCGATCTGGAGTGCAAGGGGATCTTCAACAAGACCATGTTCTTTCGCCTGGATCGCATCTGCGAGGACTGCTATCAGCTGTTCCGCGAGACGAGTATACATCGGTTATGCAAGTAAGTTACCCAGTCCACTAACACCACCCATATACACCCATGTCCAGCGTATAACTAACACACAACCCTGAAGCAGAGATCTCCCCAAAAAACAGCGGTCCGATCGATTACGAATCTGATTTGCCTGAAAGCATTTCAAGGCGAACGAAATGGAAAATATGTACATTTTCTTGGAGTCGGATGTCAAAACTGTGGCAGAGACTCGAGACCCTGACACAGATCAGAGATTGGAATCGGGGCAAATGGTCTTTGGCCTAAGGCCATGCTGATCTATTCTAAACGATTTTTTTTTGTTTGAGGCCTTTCCTATTCATTTCTGTGACTTTCTCGACTTTCTACATCTGTGGTTCTTGTCTATGTCTATTCGATGCAGGGCCAATTGTTTCGCCCACGAAACCTTCGGGGACTGCCTCAAGGTGCTGCTGATCGACGATGAAGAGATCTCGCAGCTGCAGCACTCTATGAAAGTTATCAACGGATCGCCCTATCCCTTTCACAAGCCTATTTTCAAATAGATTGCTTATGTTTCTTCTTCCTTTCTGTATCTGTATCTGTTTCTGTTTCCGTTTCTATTTCTATATTTCCGTTTCCGTTTCCTCTGCCTCTTCCGGTTTTGTTTTTGTATTTGTTTTGGTGCTTTTATTTGACTTGAGTTTGCTTCAGTTACCATTATGTTTCATTATGATTTTCGTGTTTAATTTTAGGAAAGACTGCTTTGATTCAAAATGGTTTGGCGAGTGCCTGAAAGTGCTGCTAATACCAGAAGAAGAGGTATCGAACTTGCAACACTTTCTGAGGGTTGTGAACGGTTCGCCCATATCCTTCAACAACACGCCGGGCCAAACATAACTCTAAGATCTTGAACCCCCCCCCCCGCACAGAGATCAAGAGTCCGAGCAAAAAAAACAAACAAATTTAATTATTTAAACGCCCAAATTTAATTCGTACTTATTTATTACTGTAGGCCTTACAGTTTATACTATATGTGTTTTTTTAAAAACGAATTACTTTTATTAATTTATTGAGAACGTTATGCGTTTGTTGTAAGTAACATAAATCGTAGGGAAACCACCGCATGGAGATGGAGAGATGTAGAGATGTAGAGAAAGATACGATATAGTGGGAGGAACAGTGGGTGGGTGGAAGAGATTCTACCCCCTGGAATCGAAGTATTTATTTATAAGTATTCCTAGCTTGTTTTATTATTATTATTATTATCATAATTATTATTATGTTATGTATATACAATAAACAAAAGAAATCCATTGTTTTAAATCCATGTAGAGTAGAATACAGCATTTAATTTTAAATTTTACACACGATAAATGCGCGGAAACCCCCACCTCCCCCCGAGAGTTAAAGAAAAGGCACACACACCTAACACACGAGACCGAAAGTATTTTGCAAATGTATTACAATTAATTTTGTAACGATTAAGCCCCTAATTAGCGTAAATCTGAGAAGAGAGTGGAAATATGCATATAAAAAACTATATATGGGTATCTATGTATATCCGCATATATCCAACGTATCCACTTACCCGCACCCATACTAAACTAAACTACTAAACTAAACGCTTAGTCTTAACGCTAAAACGCAATTTGTGCAAAACACAAACAAAAAACCTTTGGTAAAAGCACACAAAAAAAAAGAAGAAGGAATACATTACAAATGTAGAAAAAAGGACCATCATTCGCTGGCTATTTGAGAGTGAAGGAGGGAGAGGAGAAGGAGAGCATCAAAATTGTGATAAATGAGAATTAGAAATGCGAAGCAGACCAGCCAGAAATGAAAGAATCCCAGAACCTCACAACCAGAACCAGAACCAGAAAGAGAGCGAGCGGAACAGAGATTGAGAAAGAAACCAGAGAATAGCCGGAGACGGCGACCGTTAACCGATCGCTAACCGTTTTTGTTTTGGTACGTTTTTATTTTTAATTTTATTTTAACTTGAATTTTTCTTAAATTTTATATTTTTAACTGTCGCCGCTCTTGCATTTTTTGACATTTTTCACATGCATACCGGCTTGACGAAACTTGAGAATTTTTGACTTTTGCATTTTGGCTCACATTTTTTTGAGCGTGTCCGAAATTCCCTATAAAATATCATGCATATCCGATATCTAATGTGTCCACTGCTCTATCCAAAAACAGGCAAGAATGCTTCGGATCGCCCTTCTTCAATGCCTGCATAGAGGCTCTTCAGCTGCACGAGGAAATGGACAAGTATAACGAATGGCGCGATACCCTTGGCCGAAAGTAAACGGGCGCGGGCACTGGCACTGGCTATGGCTTTGGCACTGGCACGAGCAGCTACTTAATTCTATAACCTAACTATACTATGTACTACTACTACTACTATACATCTATCCACGAAAGTGGCAGAACCAGAATACGATACGATACGGCACGAAACAATGGCATCAAGGAAACAAACGATCGATCGACCCGAGAAGATGACAAGAAAACTGTCTAAAAACTTGAAATACCTATCTATAAAGCGAGAGAAACAAAACAAAACCAAACAGAAATGTTGCAAAAAATATTAACCACATATAACTACGACTACGAGTATATATTGTATTGCATGCATGTGGCGGAGAGTAGAAATTCGAATTCGGTTTGTTTTTTGATTTTAATTTTTGTTTTCGGCCGATCCAGCCATCGTACAACAGTCTCGTGAAGCCTTTAGTTTAGTTATTACGAGAATTATGATAGTTTCTTTTGAGTTCTTCCATAGAAAAACCAGCAAAGCAAACGAACAAGTGAACAAACGAACAAGAATCAAAATGTCTGATGTAAATAAATTATTTGTCTTCTCTTTAAATAATTCTATGCATACGCACTTATTTATAATGCCTATATATTTTGTACATTTCCTTCATTTGGTAAGCTTAAGTTATTAACCTGTTATGGCAATGAGTTTAACGCGTTCTACGACACCCACACCACCTACCACCACCCTACACAATAGACTCACTGTAAGAAGAGTACCATCGTACCCATAGAATCCATGCGTTCCACAGCAATAGAATATTGAAAATCAAAAAGCAAAAAGAATCCACCAGCACTCGACATAATTCGATTCGATTTAGTCTATCATTGCATATGCGCATAACTATTAATTAATTTAAACTTGTTTGGATCTAGTCGTAAAATATAAATAAAGATTGTATATTTCAAGATGAGTCGGCGGTGATTTTACTTGCGGTGCAAAACTTTATTATAAATTCAATATACTCTCTCCAATGTCAACATTTCAAGTGCCAAAAATCTCCACTAGTATGAGTTATCATAAATCAAGCTCCAGCATCATCCCATCACTTGAGATGAATGAAATGCCAAGTGTCGACTGCAAGAACAAGAAGGAATATGAGTTTAACGATGTTTATTTCATATTTAAGTGCATAGAATACTATATACAGGAGTTAACAGTTAAATAAAGCAAAGCCAATTACATATATGTAGCTACATATTGGGATTATTTACAGGGATTGTTGGAATTTGTTGCAATAGATTATTAGTAAAGTTAAAGCATGCGTGTTGTGTTGGGTTGGACTTTTGTGACCAATTTGTGTGTGTGCATTTTGTTGCTTAGGCGGGGGTGTTCGAATCGGGGGAAATACGGGGATATGCAGACAGCGGCTATAAGTTTGATTTAGCATAGTAAACCTTACCTGTGTCGACCTCTTCCTCAACTTTGCCGCCCTCTGGTGCCTCGGCAAACAGCTTTTCAGCCTCCTCCTTGGGGATGACGAATTCGGAATTGCGATTGGTAATGTTGGTGCTGGGAACAACAATCGGGAGATAATGTCATCGTTTACTCATGGATAGTGCAAAACTCACCAAGAGATTGGGTGGTCGCCCACACTGCTCTGATTGATCAGAGTCTGCCAGAACTTGTGGGTCTCGGCAATGATCGAAGTCGCGAATTCAGCATTCTTCGCATCCCCGTTGAAGGCAAACTGGTTCTCTGGCTTGCCATCGGGGATTTTGTAGATCTATCGGATTGGGAGTACACCAGGTTAGCAAGAACAGGAGAATGTACCCGCCAGCTGGGTGCCTTACCTTGAACCACTCAACAGTGGCGCGCAGCAAGCCCGGGAAGTACTGATCCACATCGGCAATATCGTTGACCTTCGACGCCAGCGGATCGTTCACATCAATGGCAATGATTTTCCAATCAGTTTCGCCCTCATCGATGAGAGCAATGGTGCCCAGGACCTTGACCTGCATGACATCGCCCCGCTTGGCCACGCGATAGCCAATTTCAATGACATCAATGGGGTCGTTGTCACCCTTGCAGCCCGTCGACGGCTCAATGTGGTCGGGATTCTCCCAGGTCTGCGGCAGGGCACCATAGTTCCAAATGTAGCCCTTGTGGGGGAAGCAGTTGGCCACAAAGCGCAGCTTTCCCTTCTTGATGTCCTGCTTAATGGGGTTCAATGGCGTCTTCAGGCTAATCTAAAATGTCAAAACACGCAATCGTTGAATTATGTCTAGCCAAGATTTGTCTTTGCTCACCTCCATCTTGGCATTGGTCCAACGTGGAACCTCCACCACCATGTTGTAGGTGGTCTTCTCCTCATTGGCGTACAATGGAATGTCGTGCATCGGTGAGATGACATTGCCGCATTTATTTTCTGTTGAAAGTAAAGTAAATTATGCCCATTAGTCAATCGTCCACTGGACACGCAATCCTCCCAAGGTTGATTAATTGATAATGGCCGTCTGAGGTGGCATCCAGACAAAGTTCACTCCCTCACTTATCTATGCGTAATAAATTTCATCATCCAATTTAATTTCCCCCAATTCCGATATGGTAAACTGATAAGTTAAAGTCACGTTGCACCACATCCCAATACAGTCGAAGCTCGGAAATTAGATTGTATTGCCCACACAGTTTCGGGAATCCCCGAGTTATTGAGTTATTCGAGGTGTATACAATGCGGTCATATGTTATTTCTGGAAGAACTTTGTATTGCCCACACATTGCCTTATCTGTTAACTTAGAAATAAAAATGGGAGTCCCCGAGTTATTCGTGTGCAAGCGAATCGCTTGTAGAAATTTGTGTAGTTGATGGCTGAAGGTCATAATGAAAATGATCACTTTTTTTGTCCAAAAAAATGTACAGGAATTAGAACCACCCCAGGAATAGAGTGGTTCTAATTTTCGAACTTCGACTGTTTGATAAACTGATATAGTGATTCCTTGTTCGGTTCATCGGTGACAGCGCTGCCAAGAGCCCTTCTACTGATAAAGCTATGCGTTAAATAACCAGAGTCCGGTTTGACTTGTTGCATAACGACTTGGCTATGATTACCCGTAGTTTATGAAAGATCTTCTGTTCTCGCACAGATGCACGGCACAGGCGATGGCGCCCCGTCTGAGGAGCCGGATGCCGGGTCACATTGATTGGGCAGACTTTGTTCGTTCCAACACTTAGCACACACACATTTCGTACTCACTGAAATAAAGGCTGTAGCTGGGCGAGTTCTTTGCGCCCTTCTCCACGGTCTCGTACTTGGACATGTCGACGTTTAGCGTTGGCAGCGTATTAAGTTGAATGTTCCTTTGGCTCAGTGCACCAGCAGTTTTTGCTGACGTTTGGAGAATTCTGGGAAAGCGGCCTACTACCACACGTGAATTTCTTGTAATTTGTGCCAGCATTTTGTGCTCTGTTGTAGCCCTGGTTTAACTATCGCCCAATCGGCATATCGATATTCATTAATCGATACTCACGTGATCTTAGTGATGACAAAACATACTCTCTAACAGCGATGAATCTACACATCGTACGCGTTCCCGTAAGATACATTTGATTTTTGGGACAAATTTCAGCAACATGGGAAATGAATTGGCAGCATTGTTGCGCAACTTTGGCACGGAATGAGCAACAATCTGCTACCTTGGGAAAATGGGTATTATGGACTTGAAATATTGTTTGTAATTTCAGGCTCCAATTAATGCAGAATCTACTCAGTCTCTGTTTTGACCAGCAACACTGACGTCACATTTAGTCAACATTAACGTTTTATGCTTTGGCCGTTTTTATTTGATCCTTATTATGTACACAATACAATAAAAAGGACTTCTGAAAACAAGCCAATCCTGAACAAAATTTATTGAGGGATCGGATAAAACTATTTGTTTAGGGCTGAGAGGGCCAACTAGGGAGTAATATTAAACTGAATATCAAAATCGAGGAATATCAACGCATCTGTCAGTATATTTACGGTATATTATATAATCAATAATATACTTTTCAAAATGACCGCCAAACTCCATTTAGCGCACAAAAAATACTGACATTTTTCGCTCTCTAATCGTTGTGGTTTTTCAAAATTTGCGCTCTTTTTAGAGGTGAAGAGAGCGCTTTCGTGGTGACTTCCGCCTCATTTTCGTGGTGTGAGCCACATGTTCCTAACGGGAACGCGTATGGAATGAAGATTCATTGTTGCGTCATTCCATACACGTTCCCGTAAGATAGTTTTGATTTGTATGGGAACATTTTCAGCAACATGGGGAAATGAATTAGCAGCATTGTTGTGCAACTTTGGCACGAAATGTGCAACAGGTCTGAATACCTTGGGAAAATGGGTATTATGAACTTGAGATATTGTTTGTAATTTCAGGCTCCAATTAATGCAGGAACTACTCAGTCTCTGTTATAAAGATATTAACGAAATTTTGCAGCTCACAGGTACCAATAATAGGTATCAGAACCGGGATAAGGGACGGGATACAAAAATATGTCAATCTAGGAAAAATGCAATATTAATGCTTCATATTAATATTAATGCAGCTTGGAATAACAAATTTAACATCAATTAAAGGAAATAAGGTATTCAAAAGTCCTTACGCATAGAAGTAACTTGGTTGACCAGCAACACTGACGTCACATTTTGTACACACTTACGTTTTATGCTTTGGCCGTTTTTGTTTTAACCTTTTTATGTAAACAATGCAATAAAAAGGACTTTTGAAAACTAGCAAATTTTGTAGAAAATTGATGTATCTATCGGATAAAACTATTTGTTTAGGACTGAGAGGGCCAACTAGCGAGTAATATTAAACTGAATATCAAAATTATGGAATACGATTTCAATCAATAAAAATAGAACGTTAACCCTTTTTCGACCAGGGGGGTATTTAATATTTCCACGAAATTTATGTAACTTTAACATATTTTACGCATTATAGGTGAAAGATGTCGGTGGTCATTTTTGTTTTGTAAGTAAAGAGGAGGATGGAGCTACAAGGAGCTTTTACAAACAGTATTATTTTCCGAAGTTTAAAACAGGGTGCTCAACTTTTTAAATAGAGGGGTGCGAAGTGGGTTAAGTCTTATCGATAAGTCCGCCTGCAATCACATGATTTGGTCATAAGTTTTTTCAAGTCTGCCCGTGCAAAGCGAAAATTTTCTCGCCCGTTTTTTGTTTGTAGTTTGAGTTAACTTTTCGGTTGGTTTTCTTGATTTTTAAGTTATTTTCTGTTGCTTCATTATGCCTGGTTTTGTTTCCTTATTGTTTACCCCCCTCAAGTGCGTCGTCCCAGCGGTTGCAGCAAGATGTTGTGGAAATCGCTGATTGCATTGTGCGTCATTGGAGCAGCCTTGGCCGAGCAAACGCCCGTATTTCTATGGGGTGCCAACAGGTGGGTCAGACTAATTTCGGCCCGCAGGCTGCGTAGTTAATATCAAGTCCCTTTTTCTTTGTACAGTGAGGCGAAGCCCTCTTTGCGGACCGTGCCCCAGGCGGAGTTTGCTGACCAGTTGGCAGCGCTGCTGAAAGATCACATGGTTGTGGCCTTCGAGGAAAATGGCGTAAGTGCTGCACGTGAAATGGCTGATGATAGACTTTTGTTCCTAATGCATTTTCGTGTGACTGCAGCTGAGCACGAAGGACTTCCTGTGCGCCAACTCCCAGGCGCAGTCCTGCTACGCCAAACTGCAGGGCGTGAGTCCCAAGACGTACTACACCAGCGTGGAGAATCCGTCGGAGGCCCTGCGCTCGGTGGCCGCCAAGCGGGAGCACAACAGCATCGATGCCAGTGGTCGGCTTGTGAGCCCGGCCAAGTGCTCCGTGGGCACGGCTCTCTTTGTCAGCTTCGAGGATGACGAAGATGTGCGCGAGGCGACTCTGGAGTCACATGGTTTGTACACAAAATAGTCTGGGCTGTGATTGAGAGTGGCTGCTAATTTCGTTGTGCTCTTCGACAGACTCTGCCATTGCCGCTATCAGCAAGCAGTTTGATTGCAAGGTGGCTTATCTGTACCTGGCGACACCTTCCACCGCCCCCGTGGTGCAGCGCCGCAAGCGACGTGACACTGCCGCCACCACCGGAGGCATCATGTGGGTTTCGGGCAACCAGTTTCGCATATTCTACACCAGCGTCATGTACAACGGAGTCCCCTTCTCGGTCAACGCTCTCACCATCGAAAACGGAACTTCTCCCGCTACTACGTTTTCCGTTAAGCTGGCCACTGCCGAGGCAACCAAGTCACTCACGTTCGATGTTGTTTATGGCGATGGCGGCTACTTTAGCCTGACCAACGTGGCCTACGCCGGACAGGCCTTCCGCAGCACAGGCATCATCAATGCCCCCACCACTTTCTCCTACTCCTGCGGAAACCTCACCCTGGAGACGGCTGCCACTGACAACATGTACAACACCCTGAGCTTTAACTCGCTGCAGATTCAGGCTCCGTTCAGCAGCACCTACAAGGAAAACTTCCCCTTCGGCGACTCGTGGGACTGTGTGGGCTTCGTTTCGCCTGGAATACTAATGGGTCTGCTGGTGGTTATCATTTTGCTGGTCATCGTATTCATTGGCGTCTGCTGGATGATGGACATCAACACGATGGATCGCTTCGACGACCCCAAGGGCAAGACGATCACGATCAATGCCGGCGTTGATTAAGCGGCCGATTGGTTGTCATAGTTTCCCTTTCAATTTCTTTGTTCAGTCAACAATATTCATTCCTTTCCTCCTCCTCCTTCAGTCTGTCCATACATATATGCATACATATTTACGAATCAATCAATACTTAATACCGTTACCATACAATCATATAATCAGGAAATTAGCTATCGCAATTTATGTCGTATCCATAATTTTCGCCCGCAAAGATCAGCCTACGTTCAGCATCAATAACAACCAAATCGAGGCTGGCCTTTGCCGTCGAAAATTGTCTGGGAACGAGAGTCCCGAGAGAGTTTTGCTTGCAACGACTTTGCAACCAGTATTTCGTTTAGTGTAGCCCAAGCTACGACCCCCCCTCTCCCTAATGTGTGTGTGGCTGTGCCCCAAAGGGAGTACGAGTGTGTATGTGTGTGAGATTGCCACAAGTCAGTAAATCTAAACTTGAATATATCTAAGTGTTTTATAGTTACTTGTTTCCTGCGCAAATACGAGAATGTGAACATAATTTATGCCTCTGTATGATAGTTTATCATTTTGTGTAACGCTCCTGTTCGCAGGCCCAGCGAAAATAAAGTTTTTTTTTTCAATTGTGTTACAAAACATGTAAAGTTATTCTCAACACTGCTGGTCGATGCTGGGATGCTCTTCTGATACAGCACTGATGCAGGGATTACTGTGGCTTTTGGCTGGGTGTTCGAATGTTTTATATGCTCGTGCATACGTTTTTTTCTGCCGCCCACAGAAAGCAATTTCAATTGAATTTTTCCTGCAAAAAGTCATAGATACAAATCAAAAGTTTAATGGAAATTTATTGAGTTGCCATCGACGGGGCTTCAACTTGCCCCTGCGGCTAGTGGAGCTCGATGCATATCTCCCATTCGGCCCCTGGATGGGGCGGACATGGGTGCAACGGAAAGTTTTAAGTCGAAAATAGTTTTCGCTGCAGCAAAGGAAACACTTTTCCTCGACTGCACTCTGGGCACTCGAGCGACTTTCATTAAGTTGCTTGCTTGGGAGCGGGGGGCGTGGCGTGGCGTGGCAGGAAGAGCAAAAAGCATTGTTTATGACATTTTAATCTCTTGTTTATCCGCTTGACTTTTCCACTTGCTGGAAAAGTGCTGCAGCCGCCGCCCCTGGACCTACTCTCTCTCTCTCTTGTGTGTCTGGTCAAGGCGTGCGTAAAATAAACTCTTGGGCAGGCGGCGCAAAAAGTATGCTACGGCTGCTGGGAGTGGGCGAAACTCCCTGAGGCAAAAGGACACAGTTGACTGCACCGAGAGTGCCTGGCAGGCGCTTAGCGTTTTTGTTGCATTAGAAACAGGTCAGTGCGTCATGCACACAAATGAGCATATGACCCAGCCGGAGCTCTGCCCTACAGAGTGCAGGCGGCAGGCAGTGGCAGTGGCAGTGCAGCGCAGCGCAGTCCAAAAACTTGTGCCAGGCCACAGACTGCTCTGGCCTGAACAGTCAGTCGTAGTGAAAAACAGTAATTATGCATAAGTCAACACGCGGCATTCGTAATGAACTCCACTCAAAGCGGAACGAGAGCTCTCCCAGAACCGCCGCGAACACAGTTGGGGAAACTTTTTGGCAGCCAAAAATGTCGCCAAGTTGCCAGCTGCCGAAAGTTTTTCGGCCAGCCAGCCCACAAAAGCAGCTAAGTACGGATCCGTACATATGTATATGGATGGGATGCATAAGCCAGGCGAGCAGAGCAGAGCAGAGCAGGGCAGGGCAGGGCAGCCTCCTGCGGCGAGCAGCGTGAGGCCGTGGCCCTTCGTTGCTCCATAGCCACAGGCCGTAATAAAACGAGCGGTCTACAAATTGCAGCATTAGGCAGACTCAGAGAGGAAGGGGTGCCAAGGCATAGGAAGATGGGAGAGTTAATGGGACAGCGAGAGCGAGGAGGAAACTCTCCAAGTTGTGGAACGAACATGTGTTTTGCTCTTCAGCCAGTAAATGCAGCCAATGCAGTCGGAAAAGTTGCTGGCCATTTTTTGTGTCATTAAGCCCTAGCCAGAGTGCAAATCATTACGCCAACTGATGAGAGTAGCTCAAAGAGAAGACATCAAACAGGGCAGCAGAGGAGTAGAAGAGAGTGGAACAGTGGGAGAGTGGGGGAGAGTTGAGCGCTTAAGCCAAACACAATAAAATCGCTTCCAGCCTGTTAATGATGGCATTTGTGTGCAGCCCGGGAGCTGTCATCACTCCTCCTGCCCCAGAGTATCCTTCAGACCAGACCTGACGCTGCGGCTGCTGTTCCCATGCCCTGCCCCGAGCTGAGCAGCTGCTTATCAGCGCTAAGTGGATGTGGAATGTAGGTTGCGGGGCATGTTCAGCTAATAGATATACTCTCCGCGGCAGCATCCAGTGCGGTTGGGACGGCGGAATGGGGAATGGGGAATGGGGGCGTTGCCTAATGAAGTCATTTGTGACGCTGCTTTTAGATGGAGAGAAAGGACTGCTGCGGCAAGTGGTCAAAGGATGTGCAGCTCTGAATGGGCATGAATGAATCAGGGGGAGCGGGAGCAGAGAGTGCGTGTGCCACCATGTCTTCTATGCAGTACTTAGAGCATGGCTAATTTGCTGCTTAAATGCAATCCCAGCAGTTTGTTGGCTGGGGAGACTTTAATTACAGTTGGAACCCTAAATCGCTGCAGACTTTCCCTCGCATCTTCAATGAAGATTTCCTTAACAATTCAAGTAATTTGCCTAACATCAATCTGCTCTTCGTCCTGTAACCACATTCCGGCCACTCATTAACCCTTAAGCCGACAAATCACTCTGCATATTCTCTGCAAGAGATTTGACCCCAAATTATAGGCAATCGAAGTGAGCTGGGGGAATGAGGCCAGTAGGGATATTGGTCTGCCCGGATACGGAAGCTGAGGGCCAACTCTGGCACAGTGGTCAGTGTGGGCGGGGCCATGTCGGGGGTCGGGGATCGGTCGGACAGAAATTAATTAGTTGTCATTTTTAACAATTGGGCGTGACAAGGGAAACGAAACGTTGGTAAACAGAACTTCTGTATGCGGGTGTCATTCTGTGTAACTGAACAAAGAGAAAGGGGGGAACGTAGAGGGGGATGGGAGAGGCTGCAGAGGAGTGAAGCTTAAGCCGGCAGCCATGACAATTGACAAATGATGTTGGCGCCGTGTGACGTGTGACAGATAAGTGCCGAAAAAGGTTTACAACTTTTGTCGAATCTCATTTATTATTGATGTCTGAGTGTCCGGACTCCGGATGTTCCCTTAAGGCTAAATGGCAGCAAATTAAAGGCGACTGAGGACCAGTAGCAGTACCAGTGCTCAGCTTTGCCCCACCAGCAATTAGGCCACATTTCAGTCGTAATTATATGCAGGGCGGATTAGTCCGAGCAAAGCTCCGCTTTGCCTTTGCTCCTACCTACCACTGACCTGACCCACACGGCCAGTGAAGCGTTCAGGCTTAGCGCGTAATCCCGGGCATGCAACTCAACCACTGACCTGTAGCTGTAGCTGTAGCTGTACCTGTACCTGTACCTATGTACTGTATGTACAGCAAGGCCAGCAAATTAATTAGTCCTCTTCATAGAAGTGTCTGCAGCCAACGGAAGCTGTGAAAATTGCTTAGCAACTGGAAACCAGCAGGGCGGTGAATGGAAATTTAGTCCGAAATGAGCCAATTACGAAAAGGCTTAAAGATTTTCCCTCGCATATACAGGAAAAGCTTTGACAAACTTTCAAGTTTCAGGGTCTGATTTCCATGCAGGCTAAATACGTAAACTGTGTGATTTCTGGTGAGGATTCTCTCTCCTTTCATAACAGCTAGGAAAACCCTTTTGCTGAATGTATTAGCCTATTCCAAAGCCGATTATGCAGGACAAGTTCCAAAAGGAGAAGGGAGACACCGAAACAGTTGGCAGCACGTGTATGAACACATTGACAGCTGTAAGCAGATATATTTACACACACAACTGTCTCCTATTCGCACTCCCCGCCGTCAAGCAGATCAAGTGCATTTTTATGTAAATCTATTGTGTGCCACAGAAGGCGACACAGAAGCAGCATACGAGTATTTGCATGGTCCGCTTCCGCCTTCGATTTCGCTTTCCATACGAATCGGAATTGAAAGCAGCCTCCGCTCTGCTCTTCATTTTACTGCTTACTTTTTGACGCTACGCAAACGGAGAGGAGACGAAGCGTCACGTAAGCCTTCTGTGAATGCCACACGCCACACTGCCACAATCTTACGTGTGGCATGAGGCCCCTGCCCCACCGCGGGCATTATTGATTGAGTGGGAATAGCTTGTTCGCATCTGTTCGCAAATCATATTCAATACAGGAGTATTGTTTGTTCTTTTACGGCTGCGAACACATTTTCCTTTGGCTTTTCTCCGTCTGCTTGTTAAAGGAACTTTTACTGCTGCGCCCCTTTTGTATTGAATTTCTAAGGATACATATTATGATTTTAACCAGATGTTTGTGGTGCAACGAAGAAAGCGTTTTCAACTCAATGAAGTATATACAATATATATATATATAAAGGTCTTTTTGTTGCACATATTATAGGATAACTTGAATAGGAAAAGCTTAGCTATATCTGGCTTAGCCAAACATGCATATGTATTCGTACGAGTATGTATGTATGTATATGTATGTATGTAGTTATGCATCAAAATGTGTACATATATTTCCCTTCTTTCATACTTCTGTTGTTACACAATTTTGGTTTTGTTTTGTTTTGTAGATTTGATTGCATTTGGCCCACTGACTCTATTTTATTCTTCATCCGCATGGGTGGTGCGGCCAGAAATTGTAGCCAAACTTTTGTGCAACTTAATCATGCTGCACAGGATCAGGGGCCAGGGGCTAGGGGCCATGACGGAGGAGTTCCTGACTCCTAGTCGCAGTCGTCGTACCTTTCCGTGTGCAGGATACATTGTAGCCACAAAAGTTTTCACATTAAAACCGTTTCTGGCTGGCAAATTGTGAAATGAGTTAGCAGCACTCGCTGGGCACTTTGTTACCCCCCCCGACTCCGACCCCACTCCGTCCCGCACCGACAAAGGGATGGATTCCTTGGAAAAGTAAAAGTTGGAATCTGTGAATGGGTTGGATGGGCATGACATTTATTTATTATTAAAATATTTCGTGTTTTGTTCAATTTGTTGAAATTAAACAGCAATTTGTGAATGAATGAATGTTTAGCACTAAATAATTGATATTGCATTCCTACGTACCGACAATACAATGCAGTGCCAGCAGTGTGCAGTGCCGCAGTGTGGTGTGGTGTGGCATTGCCACCCATTGAAAAGCCAAATAAACAAGGCCACATCAAGTATTTTGCTTCAATTAAACATATCTGTTGCATAAGCTTTCCAATTATAAACTTGTGACTTCAATTATGCAACACTCATTGTTCGACAATTAAACTGCATGAATTGTTTTTAAATGTGGACTTATGTGGGGTAAATTTCATGCAATTTTTAAGCTTTGAGAGCTTTGAGCTTGTAGTTTTATTTTATCTTTAGAGAATAGGAGTGGGAATAAAAGCCCCAGATTAGCATTGGCAATGCCACCCTGGATGAGTACTACTCGCTTACGTACACCT